ATTTTAGAACAAAATAAGCTTTTGAATCATTATATTTATAAAATATACTATTTTTCATTGCTTTAAAATTTTAAAATTTAACAATTCACTAGACTACATCTTACTAAACCTGCAATTTTAATCTTTTTTTAATGAGTGGGAATTATGCAATGAATGTTTAGTAAAGTTAATGTTATAATTTCATTTATTAGAATATAAATGATAAATTTAGCATTAAAATAGGTACAGATTAATTTTTATGCAAAAGTTCCTTTGGCATTAAATAACTATTAATTGATGCCATTAGAATTTATTTAAGCCCAAATAATTATGTATAAATTGTACAACTGTTAAGTTGGAGTAAAATGTGTGTGTGCTTCCATGACCGAGTGGTCATACAAGGATGTATTATGACAAGGGAGCAGTTGGAAGAGCAAGGAATGTGGGGAAGAAGGACTCAAAGAAGAAACAGAAAAAATAGTGGAAGAAAATAAGAAGCTAAAATCAGTGTTCCACAGAGGAAAACAACTGAGGAATAAATGACTACACAAATCAATTGAATAAATATGAAGCTAATTTTCTGAACTGGAAAATTGCACTGAAAAGTGTCAATTTTTGCTGATTTTAAAATTAGTGCCCCTAAGTTCACATCAAAGATTTAAGGAAGTTTCCAACCCAGGTGCTGGATCAAAGCCCTCCCCAGGTATAGAGTCCTTTGCCATAAAAATATTAACATTATATTTTATAACTGTGTTGATATAAAGATGAATATAATCCAGTCTGGATTCATTATTATATACATCATCATCATCATCATCATCATCATTATTATTTCATTTTTCTTCTGATTTTAAAAGAAATTAAAATTAATTAAGCCAGGTTTGTGGGTCCCTAAAAGTATAATAGGCCCTGGGTAAGTGGGCCCTAAATAAAAGCCCTGGACCCATGGAAAGAGCAGCCGGAGTGACAGCTCAAAACCAAAAGGGGATGGAAGATGGTCCCGCGGGACTGACCAGTGAGCCAAGTGGAAGGGACTCAGAACCAGCTGTCTCTGCACTTTTCTCCTATCAACAGGTCCCCCAAACTTCTAAAACGTACCAAGTCCTAGACTTTGTTATCCCCAGTTTATGGGGTATGTGGGAATGGGGCAGAAAGGAAGAACTGTCTCGCTTGTCCCCACTGAGTTAGAACTGAGCTCCAGCAGCCGGGAACCTCCTTCTGAGCACAGAGATCAGTAGCCACTGTCATTCATGCAGTGTGTTAGAAGGAACACAGATATCCAATAAAAGGAGGCAGGTCGTGTAGACACATTCACACAGTAGAGATTCTTGTAGCTATCCAAGAGGATTTAGATTATATTGTATTAGTATGAGACAAGAACACAGGATATAACGAGACTTGGTTCCACACAGGCATTGTTGGTCAGTAAGCCCAGTCCCATCAGCGGAAAAACAGGATGGGCCTGAGGACCATTCCCGGGTGCCACGTCCTTTTCCAACTATGTCGTCGGCCAAGGTCTGGGCATGGAAAGAAGGAGTTCAAGGAATCCATCTTTATGGAAGAGAATGTGGCATACAAAGGGGGCAGTAATTTTGGGGGGGGGGTTGCTCTTAGTACCTCCCTTGCTGATGTTATTCATGGTCTTATATCGCACCCTGATTCCCATAGGAACAGGCCATGAGGAGAAAGAGGCTTGAAATGAGTCAGTGATTAACTTTGAGGAAAATTCTGAAGAGACAACTAGTTCTCCCCAGACTATTGAATCATGCCCCAAAATTATATAAACAAGGTATTTATAAACCTGAGTAAGAAATTATCCCTGACTGTTCCCAAAGAAGAACTTATGTGATCAGAAGGTGGTGGGATTGTTAGACACCTGTATTTCAGGTTCATTGATTTGCATAATTCCAATGAAGTTGTACAAAATAATTTCTTGACCAGAGAATAAAATCCCCTCTAATGAAATAGCCTCTGAATGTCTAAAAGTTGTTGGAGTAACAGCCCCTCCTTTACCTTGAATAGGAATATATATCAATTAGAATTAGACAGGCAAAGAAATGAGAGAAGCTGGTTAGCTATTACAAACTAAGCTCGTAGAAACAATTACCAGGGGGTCAGAGTCCATAGTACATCGAGAAACATTTTAGACAGAAAAGATAGATAGCTGAGTTAGACATCACAAAGGCCTTATAATAAATTTCCCATAACCTCTACTCAATCTAGCCTATCCTTTTGCCCCATGACAAATTCTGAGAACTTCAATAAACGATAAGACATTCAAACTCTCTACATACAGCTATTTCTAATTGTCTGATTTAAAAGATCCGGGTAGAAAATTTCCTGCTTCGCCTGACCGCAAATGTTAATCACTACCCAAAACGAAAATACAAAAACCTGCTTGTACTTGCACTAAACGGAACAGAGCGTCACCGTCCTCTGCGTGCTGTTGTCGTCCATCTCCCATCGCCGACACTTTACCCACCTTTCAGGAACCCCTGGACCCGGCTGCGGCCGGACCTCGGCCCCCGGGGGTGTCTCAGTACACAAGGTCGGCTGATGGCCTGCCATGTCACTGCTGTCCCAGAGCGAGTCAGGGTTTGGTCTCCCTTAAACTGTATACCCATAACCCCCAGGCATCACCTAACTAGGGACACGTGATGCAGTCATTCCTAGTATTATCAATAGTTCTTCTGTGTGCCTATGGGGCTCAGTGGTGTATAGACCCACTGTCTCAAAGCTAAGTTCAGATTTCCACGTTCACAAAGCTTCTGCCCTTCTCACTCTGCCAGGATCCAGAAACAGCAAGTCTTCACGGCTCCCATTTCACTGTTATTGTTATTATTATTTATTATTATTACATGTCCGATTCCTAAAAATCAGTTTTCTTTTTTATTCTGGCTGATACCTCCTAAACTAATTGTCATTGTACCATGTTATATCAAGATTAGACCTTTTGCATAGGATTTAGAAACCATCTAAAAAAGCAGTGACATTTTCCTTATGCACAAAATGCAGCCATTTATGTAAAGTAAGCCATTTTCAGATCCTTTTTAGGATCTAGGTATACATGTCAATATCTTGATAGATTCCAAAGCATGCATTCAGCTTTGCATTTCTGTTAATAGTCTGGCTGGCTGTTTTGTCACGTAAATTTTTCCCTGAGTTCTTAGTAAAAAATCTTGACATTTATTAAATACCCTGTTATTCTCACTTCTATTTCCAAATTACAACTATCTTACTAGGCGTTGGCCATACCCCCCAGGTTCATTCATTATTGCCATACAGGATAGCATTTTGTCCACGTCCACAGCAATGGATTCAGAATGATTCGCTCAGTGATGGAATGTTTTTTCAGGATCTTCCCTTAAAGGGTGCAGACCTAAATGGTAAGCATGCAAGAGCTCATTCTCTTGTTCTGTACTCTCCTTTAAAGTGCCAACAAAGGGTTGCCTAATTCTCCTACCACTTATCTTTGTCTCCCTCTGTATCTTTCCCTTTCACTACCAGAGAAGACGGCCTTGAGATACATTCCCATAGTGAGCAGCAAATACGGCATGACCACAGCCTCCCCTCTGCTCATTTCAACTTACATCCAGCCTGCATTCTGTGGAGTTTCTCTCCTCCTGGCCATGAGATTCTACAAGCATCGGATGTGCTTATTCATGAGAAGCAGGGTTGATCCAGCCCATCAATCTTATTGATGAAATTCTAGCAGTCATATTTGTATGACAAATCACAGATTACTGGAATTTTAATGTTCCTATCTTGGAGACATATAACCGAATCTCTGTTTTTAAAATAATGACTAGAATAAAAATTGTCTAAAAATTACTTGGGTGATTATGATATGAGTTACGTCCTTTATCACTACTTCTTTATTGCCAATCCTGTCTCTTAGAAACAATTCAGCTGATTATCTACCTTTAATTAGACTTTAGCACGAGTTGAAGCACATTCTTTTAATCTGGAACATTACTCCTTATTGCTCTCTCTATTACCCCATATTTTGTCTAGTAATTGCTTTAAGTGTCCATTTTAATTTCATTTATTCCTCTGCTTTGTGGTTGATGTGAATTGCTGGAAGTGTGGACGAGAAAGGGTTCTGAAGAAAGTAACCTGACAGGGTGATCTGATTATAAGTTTCTAACTGGGCAGGTTGTGGTGAGTGGCCACACCCATGCACATTACTTCTTTATGTTAACCATTAACCTATGTTGACCTTCTTTACTTCTTTAGTAAACCATTTACTTGCTTTGCCCAAAGCAAGCCCTGTCCATTGTTTTTATTAAACATACCTTGAAATGAGCACAACTCCCTCAAGAAAACACGTCTTGTTAACTAACCTGTAACCCAATTCCGCCTTACTTTTTTTCCATTCTCATGTAAACTTCCATTCATTCCCTCTTTGATTTCAAGTGTATAAAAGAAAAGAAACTGCAAAATCATTACTCTCCCAAGCATTTAAGGTCTTGCATCCCAGAAATTGTTGTCAGTTTTGGCTCAAATACTTTTGCAAAAATTATTTACAAGTTTGGTTGCTCTTACACTGACAACAGGATCATTTCATTCCTTGTCCCTCCCATCCAGTACTGTCTGTGCTATACAATGCTGTGCCCTGATCGGTTGATATATAAATTGGGTCTGTATTTGTGAATGGTTTCTTGCTTTGTCTTCTGTAAAGCTTCAGTCACAAACTCAAAACAAAAAAAAATCGTCAATGCCAGAGAAAACCTAGTTATAACTCGCTGTTCCTGTGGGTGATGAGCCATGTAACCTTGGGATCTGTTTATTGACTACAGTGTCTTTGGCTAATTACAAATTGGACAATCCCAAGAAACAAGAGCAGTTTCTGGAGACATGTCTATTGACACTGAGTTTACAGCCCCAGCACAAGGGGCTCAGCTCAGGAACCTAGCACCAGCAAAGCTTACACAAATACAGTGGTGGCTTGGTACTCGTCATTAATTCATTCCGACAAGTTGCAAGCAAGTGATGATTGATGAGGCATTTTCTCCTGCAAGGTGGTGTTGTGACTCATACAAGTTCTAGCAAGTGTGACCAGTGGCAAGAAAGCACCACCAGTGGCAAGAAAGCACTGAGTGCGGAAACATTTTGTTTTTGTCAAAATGCGACTAGTACCCGGTTTGACGAGTTCTGAAGCCAAGTCCCGAGGTATGACTGCAAATGTACTTCATTCTCTTAGTCATCTAGCACTTTCCTTCTCTGAATGTGACTGATGAGTATCAACATGACTAATCCATATTTTTAGATTAAAAGGCTCATGGCTTTTTCTTTAAGTCCAGCTTCCAAATTTTGGCAGTTTAACTTTGATTCCCTGTGTCCCACCTGCTGAAACAAATGAGTGGTAATTGACAGACTCCTATGTGTTATCTATCTATCTATCTATCTATCTATCTATCTATCTATCTATCATCTATCTGTCTATCTATCTATATCTCATATACTTATCCCAGTGGGGGTTAATGCTAGTCATGTTGTATCTAACTGTCCATTTTGCTAATATACTTCTTTTTTTTCTTTTACTAGAAACTTTCTAAGTCCCAGCCAAGATGGAGGTGTCGGTAGAAACCCTTTACTTCCTTGCACAACCAAAAGGAGGATAGCAACCAATCTAAAATCAATAAACAACCAGAAGTGCCAGAAAATCAAACTGCATGGAACTCTGAGAACGATGGGATTAAAAGAAACAGCCAAACAGAGTGACCAGACCAGTAAGGCAGCGGTCGGAGAGAAACCATGGCACAGCAGTGGACTGTGGGTTGGGCTGGCTGTGGTGAGGCAGGGGGCTGTGTGGGCACGGCTGACTTATGGGGAAGCAGACTCAGAGTGGGCTGTGGACTACGGTGGTTGCCATGGCAGGAGAAACTCCCAGTCTCACATGAGAGTTCATTGAAAAGTGCACTAGAGATGAGCAGGTGAGTTGCACTGTTGCCCCTCGGGCCCCTTCCCCACAGGCAGAGCTGCAGCGCAGCAAGGAGGGTTGCCCTGCTTGGGTGACTGCTGAAGGCCCTGCCCATTACAACTTATAACTTCACAGCGGCCCCTAACAAAGATATATGGCCAAAATGAAGGAACAGTGCAAAACTTCAGAAAGAGAGCTAAACGATGAGGGGATAGCCAACTGATCTGATGGAGAATTTAAAGCCCTGGTAATCTAAATGCTCAAAGAACTGATTAAGCTTGGTCAAAAAATGAAACAACAAATGAAAGATACCCAAAATGAAATAAAGCAAAATATTCAGGGAACCAACAGTGGCAGGAAGGAAACCAAGATTCAAATCAACAATTTGAAACAAAAGGAAGAAATAAACATTCAACTAGAACAGAATGAAGAAACAAGTATTCAAAAAAAGTGAAGCAAGACTCTTCAACCTCTTTGACAACTTGAAATCTTCCAATATCCAAATTATAGGGGTGCCGGAAGGAGAAAAACAGCAGCATGAAATTGAAAACTTATTTGAATAAATAATGAAGGAAAACTTCTCCAATCTGGCAAAGGAAATAGACTTCCAGGAAGTCCAGAAACCCTAGAGTGCCCAATGAAGTTGGACCCAAAGAGGAACACACCCAGGCACATCATCATTAAGTTACCTAAGATTAAAGATAAGGAGAGAATATTAAAAGCAGCAAGAGGAAAGGAAATAGTTACCTACAAAGGAGTACTCATTTTGCTATCAGCTGATTTCTCAAAAGAAACCTTACAGGCAAGAAGGGGCTGGAGAGAAGTATTTGAAGTCAGGAAAGGCAAGGACCCACATCCAAGATGACTCTATCCAGCAAAGCTATCATTTAGAATGGAAGGGCAGACAAAGTGCTTCCCAGATAAGGCCAAGTTAAAGGAGTTCATCATCGGCAGGTCATTATTATATGAAATGTTAAAGAAACTTACCTAAGAAAAGGAAGATAAAAAATATGAACAGTAAAATGAGAACTCACAACTATCAATAAATGAACCCCAAAAAATAAAAGAAAGAAAAACAACAAAAATTAAAACTAAGCAAATAAGCAGAACAGGAACAGAATCAGAGAAATGGCTATCATACAGAGGGGATTCAGTGGAGAGGGGGAAGGGAGGAATGGGGAGAAAAGGTACAGGGAAGAAGAAGCATAATTGGTAGGCATTCAATAGATAGGGAGTGGTCAAAAACTGTGTAGGAAACAGAACTCAAAGAACTTATATGTACAACCCACGGACATGAGTTAACAGCAGTGGGGAAGCTGGAGGGTTGAGGGGTGCGGGGTGGAGGGGGGATAAAGGGGGAAAATTGGGAAAACTGTAATATCAAAATCAATAAAATATACTTTAAAATAAATAAAAATAAATATTTTAAAATAAAAAAACAAAATGTTATAATTTAAAACTAACAAAAGAAACTTTTCATTAGCTGGCATTTTTCAGACACAAATCTCCATTAACTGAGTATTGCCATCCATATAGCAAGCTCCATCATTTTTATTTTTCTGAACATAGAAATGGTAGAGTGGGACACAAACCTTCAGCGTTGGAGGGTTTCTAACATCGCCTGTCACAGAGGCAGCTGTGGCCCCAGCGAGGTGTCTTCCCCTTGTTTACAGATGGGTTTCTGAATGTATTATTTCCATTCAATCAGGTTACTTTGATGACCTTCCTGGTGTTCTTTTTTGTTGTTGTTGTTTTTATTTTGTTTAAACGCTTTTCTGACAGTACTCAGGTTCTGGTTCTTACTGGACTTTTTGATCTAAAAATTACTGGAGTCCCTCATTAGTCAGTATAGTTTCATTCACTATCCAGAATAATGCCTCTAACTGTATTTCAAAGTGAAAGTGGTGAGCAGCTGGATTAAGGGTCATGAGGTCTAAAACCCCCTATGCTTCCCTGTAGCGCTTCTCTTCATTCACAAGTACAATTTCCCGTCGTGCCACACACTCAGGGTGGAAGGGAGACCTGTGTTGCTGAACCTTCCTATGTCTTTCGGCATTGACTATTCCGCATCCCTGCTTACTGAACGCTGCCTCACTCTCAGTGGTAGCAGCAGAGTTTCCTACCCATACCACCCATACCAATAATGGGCTCTGATATTCCTAATAACAGAATTTGTTACTGGTTTGAAAATCTATTACCGTTTACTCTTTCACTAATGCATCCTTCTCTCCCCTCAATATTGATATATTGTCCTTGCCCTAGGGTGTGGGTTATATTGTACATTGAGCCCCACACCCAGAAATTTTTGTTCCTGATCCTCAGGCCATTATACCATGACCTCATCACACTGTTGGTGGCAGCTAGAATAGCACCAGGTGTTATACTGGTGGGGTCAGACTGGCCTTTGGTTCAGCAACCTCTATACTTCAGTTCTGGCTAAGAAAGAATTCAGAGTCAAGAGTCAAACTGTAAGAGAGATTTTTTAGACAGTCACAGAGGTAGAAGAAGTGATTGGTAGAAGAAACGGCTCAGGAAACAAGTTACAGAGGCAAAGGAAGGGGCCTTTGGGGCTTAGGGGAGAGAAGAGTAGAGGTAACACATGGGGCGGGGAGGAAGGGAGAGGCTTGGGCGTGATACTAGCAGGGAGGGAGAGTGTGCTGAGTCCTTTGTCCTAAGGGCTTTTAAGAACTTAAGGACAGAGGTTTTAGGGGAGGTCCTAGAGGAGGATCCCAAGAGAATATTCATCAGCTTTCCACGTGTGTCTGTCTCTTCAAGTCTCCACTGACTGGTTGGTGCCAGAGCAGGGGGTCATTAGGCAGTGCAGCTGGCCCTGAGGTCAGCCATATTGTCACTTATCTGTTTTTGCTGCTTTTCTGGGCCTGGAGCTAAAACACAGCTGAGGCCTGGATATATTTGATGTGGGTCAGAATCTCATTGTTCTGGGGCTTAATGCTTAAGGGCTATTTTCTCACCCCTCTGTTTGTTCTCACTCTAAGGGGGGTCTAACCTGTATGACTAGCAACATGCCAGGGGAGGAGAAGTCAGGGGGAGTCTGAACCACATGACCCACGACATGAAAAGTCAGGGATCCAAACCGCATACCCAGAGATATCCTAGGGGAGAAAAGGTTACCCTGGGGGCTAGGTCCTTATTTGCCTGTTGCTAGGCACCCAGGGCTTTCTGCCTGGTGACCTTCTGTACCTGGCCCATCATCCTTGCTCTGCTCCTGTCTGTCCAACTGCTTACCACCATACAGCTTCAGCCTGCCTGTCAATTGGAATTTTTATCTCATTCTCGAAAATTATTTTTTTCATAGGGGAGAGTTTAATCTCAGACTCTTTAATCCAAACCCGTCCCCCACTTTTTACAATTACTGCTTGTTCCCTTGTGACATAAGAGACATCCAGACCTGTAGAGAATGAGTTTATTTGAGCCAAACTGACAATTTTCAGGAAGCAGAATCTCAACAGATTGAGGAAGTGTTTTGGAAAATGGTAGTTTTGTAGTTTATTTTGTACATTGGAATCAAAGAAGACATAAAATCTATTGGTAGTAGACTAAGGAGGCCAAAGAGAGCAAAATGGGGAAATCTCTGGGATTGGATAAAAAGCAAAAAGGAGAGACGCATGCTTCTTTTACATTGGCGGATACAGGATGGTGAACATTTCCTGTACAGAGATGGCATTTGGGCAGCAGGATAACGATGGAGGCTTTTGTGGTCTTGTGCTCCGAGGCAGGTGGTCGTGCCCTGAGGGGCCAAGAAGAGACTACTCTGACGTTTCAAAAGTATGTTATCTTAGATGCCAAAAGACAATAGACAGGCTCTTGTGAGGTAAGGATTGCCCTCTGTTGAGGAAGCTGCAGGCATAGGGAGCGACTACCTGATACAACCCACTTTTAGTCAGGAAATTTTATCTTCAGATGTGGTTGCTTTTGGTCTCTGTGTCTGTAGGTCGGCCATGCAGGCCTCCCCTGGGCTTGTGAAGTTTAGTATGTGGCCTCTTTTCGTCACCCTCACCTCCTCCCCGGAAGCTTCCTGTATGGGTGGACCACGTGAAGTGTCAGTTACTGTGGGCAGGTGGGTCCTCTTTGCTCACTGTGTAGATGCACGTCCCTCACGTTTCCCTTCAAGACAAAAACTGTCAGGAGGAATGCTGTTAGCTGACAGCCTCCAGCTGCAGCAACTTTGGAATCTTCTGGAGCATCTTAGCCAAGGTTATACTTGCCCTGGGCAACCACAGCCAATGACTGAGCATGGCAGCCTAAAAGCCATCTCTGCTCAATACCTATTTTGAAAGATCTCTATAGGGGATTTTTGCATCACAGCTCCCCCTTGTGTGGGCCGATATTTTCTTGGAGTTGCACTTCAGTTTGAGCCTCTGCCACTGAATTTCCCAGGTGCCTTGTAGTGGGAAGCTGTCTCCACCTGCTCCTGCTCCCCCAGCCCTTCGCGTGTTGGTGTCCTGAATAAAGTGTGAGCCAGGGGAGTGGCAAATTGTAGTAATCACCATTTCCTTTTCAACACATTGAATATCTAAATGGCCAGACAATAATTAATCTAATAATGTAGCCCATTAGTTAGCTATGAAGGACTTGGTTATTGCTGTAAAATTAGAACCGTGCATACAGATTTCCAGAAAAATTGTGAAGACAGTACAGAGAGGTCCCATATACCCTAGACCCTCTTCATACTTTCCCCTGTTAACATCTTACAGCACATTTGTCATGATTAAACCAATGGCACTACATTGTCATTAACTAAAATCCGTATTTCATTCAGATTTTCTTAGTTTTCACCTAATGCCCTGTTTATGTTCCAGGGCCCACTCAGGATATCATTCTACACTTACTAATCACAGTTCTAAGCTTGACTCCTGTTGGTTGTGATGGTTCCTCCAGCTTTCCTTGTTTTGGATGACCTTGACAGTTTTTAGGAATACTGATCAGTTATAAAATGTCCCTTAATTGGGATTGGTCTTATGTTTTTTTCATGATTAGACGGGGATTATATGTTACTGGGAAGAAGACCACAGAGGTAAAATGCCATTTGTATCATGTCATGTCCAGAATACGTGCCATTGACCGTGACTCACCACTGCTGATATTGACCTCAATCACATGGCTGAGTAGTTTGTTGGCTTTCTCCACTCTGAGGTCACTCTTTTCCCACCTTCCCATGCTGTATTCTTTGATACCTCAAATTTTACAGGCATCAACTAATAAATCTCTTGTACTTCCAATTCTATCTTGACATTACCATCAGGAGGATCTAAGATGGCACAGCTTATTTTAGTAGACATCCAAGAAAGCAGCCGGTGAGAAATCATCATCTCTAGCTTACTTATTAGGGCTGAGCTTTCGTGCACACCTGGAAAGCACCAACGCCTGAGTTTCCAGGAGAAAGCCACTAGTATGCACGTTACAGATTTCCCTAGTACTTTGCAAAAGGGGCCCATGGACATTTAATTGAGTGAATATATACTTGAAAATAGGAATATCCATACAACCGGGGAATGACTGGACAAAAGGTCTGAGTCGACATCATTATGGGATGGAATCCAAGCAGGACCAGAGGGCAGGAGTAACCTGCAGACAGCCTAGAGTTCCATTCTACCCACCACGGTCATACTAGCTTCCCTCTTCAGTTCACACCTTTGACTATACACAGCCAGGTTCTGCACCTCTATGTATAGGTAATGGAAAAAAGCCAAATCAGGGTTTGTAAATTGGTTGGCCTGACATGTGAGTACAAGCTGAAGACAGACAATGGCTGTATTACACACATGCTCGGGGGTGGTCTGGGTGAGATAGGAGAGAGGGAAAAATCCTTAAGGTGGAGCGTTGAGTGGTACTCTGTATGGAAGTGGCCTGAGAATAAATATGTACACATGGACAGTAGTAAATGCCTGCCAAAGGGTAGGAGTTTAGAAAGAAAAGGAGTGGAAGACCAGAGGGTCTGGGGCAGACGCAGGTGAATGGAGATATAGAAATGGTGTGTGAAGATTTTGTGCAGGTTAACGTGCACCAGAAGCATTGAACAACCAGGTGGACAACATAATTCAACCAATTGCCATTGTCCTTTGTCCACCTGGAATTAGCATGATAGGTGAATGGAATTCATGAATGCCAGACATAGGTCCATGTGTATGGACTTTCACTTATCAGTGCTGATCTAGGCACCTCTGCGCATACAGTCCACCAACCACAGAGATGAATGCTGTGTCCCTGATATGGCACTATTGTTTGTGGAGACGAAATGGCACTTGGTGACCAGTTGACAACACTGGGCTCCTTCCATCCTGGAAAAGGCAGTGGTTCATTTTCCTTGGAAGAGACACTTATTCCATCTTTTCTAGGTATGAATTTGACTTTTTGTGTAATTCTCATTTTGCCCCAGCTGAGCACAGGCTTTTAACCTAACAGAGTTAATAAACACAGAGTTTATACTATTTGATGTATTTTTCTATGTTAAATACCTTTATTTAGTTCATTTATTAGTATTACAGGTGGTAAGTAGTTAATTTATTACTAATTTATGCACTTCTATTCTATATTTTGAATAACTGTGAGTGAATAGTTATTTTTTAAGTTTATTTTATCACCTAAATTCAAAAGCAGTCAGATCACTCAAGCACACCTAATTAAATTTTGACATTTATTAGCCCCTGGTGGCAACAAATTATATAGTCCAGTAAAGAATTACAGGAAGACTTTAGAAATATCAAACACAAATGGAAATAATAAATTTTTGTCTCCTAACGGCATATACAAGTACCACTTAAACCAATCGAAACATATAACTACAGAAATAATGATATTTGATGCATTGATAACAAATGGAAAATATCACCACTAAAACAGTAATGATAAAAACAACAAACCAAAGTTATTAAATGGCTGTCCTAAAATGGAATGGTCCTACATACCTCACACATAAATCTTAATGCTCCAGAAACTTATTAACCCACTTTAAAAATATTTAAAACACAAAGATAGAAAGATATCTAGAAATGGAAATTGTCTCCTTTATCAAGATAACATAGTAACATCTTAAGATTAATTAGCCTGTCGAACAGAAGTTTCAGTACTTCTATCACCGCATCTTTACCTGTTCTCAGTGCCCAAGAGCATGCTTTGCAATACTTACTATAAATACATGTTTTTTGTTTGTCTGCCAAATTTAAACTTGTTCAATAAGTATGAAAAAATAGAAAGGAATAAAGATATTGCAAGAGTGGTTTGTACATATTCTTTCTTATTAAAGGTCAGTGTTAATTTTTTGAAAAATTTTTTGGCCATTTTTTGTATACTTTTGTCCTTTGGTGGTGGTATACCTTACCCCTCATCTTAATCCTCATCTTCATCTTCATCTTCCCCCTCCTCCTCTTCCTTCTTTTCTTCTTCCTCTTCCCTTTCTTCTTCCTCTTTTTCTTCCTCCTCCTCCTCCTCTTCCTCCTCCTCCTTCTCTTCCTCCTCCTTTTCCTCTTCCTTTACCTCCAACATTTCTTCTTCTATTTCTGTTACTTCAGGAGTAAATACCATCTGTTCCTCCAATAATATATTTGGAAAACGATACTGTATTATCATAACAGTTGTGGCACATAGTATGAAACATAGTGTTCTCAAAATAAAAACAAATATGCAGAGTGTGTCACACACAAGTGGCCGGGGTACTTCCCATTTTGGATACCAAAATGGATAATCTGTAAACAAATAGGCAGTTGAAAGCAGGATTTTACATAAAGTAATTAAACCATTCAAGAAATAAAGGACAACAATACATACATTTGGCTTGGTCACGATCTGCATTGCCTAGAAAGAAAAAAAAAGTCCATAAGGAATTACATATTTTTTCTTTCACTAGAATGTAAGATAATCTTTCCAACAATAATGACATCATTCTCCTAGTTCTCAGGCATATGATGTCTATTATCTTTGATTTCTCCCCTGGTTTGCTAGAGAAGGCATAAGAGGATAGGAATGAGGAGATGTGAATTCTAGTACTAATTCTGTCTCTAAATCATTGTGTCACCTTATACAAATCACTTTGTGTCTGCCTTCTAAAGACTGTTCCAATTTTAGTTTTCTAGGATTCTATAACATCTCTCAGGATTCTGTTCATCTCTCTTTTTTCCCCTGATGATTATTCCAAATTGATCTTCTCAAACTACTCACTTTTCTCATTTAATCTTTATTTTAAGAAGGTTACAGTTCTTCATTTCCTACATGGCAAAGTTAACTCTAGCCAGGTATTCATCGTTTTTGCTATCTAGCCTAATGCTATCCTAATGTGTTTTAGGAAATACATTTTCTTTCCTTTGCCCACTTGGGCAGAGAAAGTCGGACAACCTTTCCTGGATTCCACTAGGGCAGAGAGTGAGAGGACAAATGAGTTCTCACACAGGCGGAGCGTAAGGGCAACATGGAGCTCTGTCCAGCAACAATAAAACCCTCAGAGGAAAATTTAGCAATCACTCTTCAGGCACTTTAGGGATGAACTGATCTTCTGATGGATCTTTGAGGTTATTTAGCCTTTGGTGCTTGATCGTATTTATTATTTTTTATGTAATGATGTGTACATTAGAGAGAGTTCCTTAAAAAATCTTTTGCCATGTAGTCTATATATATTCTCTACTTCATTCTGTGTATATGTACCTACTGATCACTTTGAATATGCGATAATGTGATTAGTATGTTCTTTTTTTGCAGATTACTTCATTTCTCCTCACTAATTTTTATTGATTAGTGATTTTAATTGATTATTCTTTTAGCTTTGCACTTGATTAAATATTTAAATACATTTAAACTTACATATCTAAATAATATATTTTGACCTCTGGCTCTAAAAGATGAGGAAATTTTTCTCTCCTCCCAAGTTTTTAAAAATTACACCATTTGTATATTGCAAAAATTTACTACATTTATATTTTGTTTTGTAATTATAAACTTCAGGGTTTTTTTTAGCATTTGTTTATAAATAAAGATTCAATGCTTATGGATAGTTCTTTCATTGTAGCTTTTTGCTTTTCTATTCATCTCTTCTTTTTGGTGAAAGTCATCCTCTAGGAGTTTCTTGAGGAAATGTTCATGAGAATTATACAGTACAAGTTCCTGCATGTTCCCATAATATGTGTCTATTTGCTTATACTTGAATAATAGGGTTGGCTGCATATAAATTCTTGGATGACACTTCTTGTATTAAGGAGATTGTGAGCATCACTCCACTGTCTCCTGGCACTGACTGTTATTGTAGAAAAGTTTGAGACCAGCCTAAATTTCCCCCTCTATTTACAGAAAGGTACTTAGTCCTGGTTCAGCTCCACAACAGAGAGTTGACTTGAATAATGGTGTTGGCAATTCACAATCCTGCATAAAGGATTGACATTCATGTCACCAGAATCCCAGAAGGAGAAGAGAAAGAGTATGGTGTTGAAAAAATATATATGAAGAAATAGCTCAAACTGGTAAGTATTATGCTGAATGATGTAAGCCAGGTGTTGAAAGACAAATACCATATGATCTCACCTTTAACAGGAAGCTAAATAACAAAACAAACAAGCAAGCAAAATACAACCAAAGACACTGAAATAGAGAACAAGGGGACAGTTACCAGAGGGGAGAAGGGAGGGCATTTCAGGGGAAAAAGGAGAAGGATTTACAGGAACTAGTATAAAGGACACATGGACAACAACTAAGGGGGGTGGAAATGGGAGGGAAGTGGGGAGCACTGGGGGGGGTGGGCTGGGATGGGAGTAAAAGACAGAAAACTGTACTTGAACAATAATTAAATTTAAAAAAATTAAAAAAAGAAATAACTGAAAGCTTCTGAAGTTTGAAAACAGATCAAGAAGTAAAGCTAAGACTGACTTATCAATTAGCATAATGCCCTCAAAGTCCATATTGTTTGCACAAGTGGCAAGATCTATTTATTTTTTACGGCTAAATAACATCTCATATTTTATACTACAATTTCTTTACCCATTTATCCATCAATAGACACTTAGTTTGTTTCCATACCTTGGCTATTGTAAATAATGCTGCAGTGAACATGGGGGTAGATATTATTTTGAGTTATTGTTTTAATTTTCTTTGGATAAATATGCACAAGTAGAACTGCTGGAGCATATGGTAGTTCCATTTATTTATATTTTTTTCGGGGATACATTCATTTATTTCTTTTTTTTGTAATTGTTGTTCAGTTACAGTTGTCCTGCCTTTTCCCCACTGCTCTCCCCTGCCTCGTCTCATCCCCCACTCCCACACAGGCAGTTCCCCCACCACTGTCTGTGCCCATGGCTTGGCTTGCCCCTTCTCCTTCTTTTCCCTGTTATTCCACTCCCCCTCCCCTATGGTTACTGTCAGCTTGTTCTTTATTTCCAAGTCTCTGGTTCTATTTTGCTCATTTGTTTGTTGATTAGATTCCACTTATAAGTGAGATCATATGTTATTTGTCTTTCACCGCCTAGCTTACTTCATAATGCTCTCCAGTTCCATTCATGCTGTTGCAAAGGGAAGGAGCTCCTTTCTTTCTGCTGCATAGAATTCCATTGTGTATTGTACCAGAGTTTTTGATTCGCTCATTTACTGATGGGCACTTAGGCTGTTTCCAGCACTGGGCTGTTGTAATACTGCTATGAACATTGGGGTGCACGGGTTCTTTTGAATTGGTGTTTCAGGATTTTTAGGTTATAATCCCAGCAGTGAAGTTGGCAGGTCAAAAGGCAGTTCCCTGTTTAGTTTTTTGAGGAAATTCCCTGCTGTTTTCCACCAACAGTGCACTAGTGGCTGCACCAGTCTGCAATTCCACCAACAGTGCACTACGGTTCCCTTTTCTCCACAACCTTGCCAGCACTTCTTGTTTGTTGATTTATCAATGATGGCCATTCTGCCATAAAATGATAGTTTTATTCTTTATACTATTTTTAAAAATTTCAATGCCTACCTTTCTTGCTGTACTGTAAGTTCAAATGGAGCAGGGAGTATGTCTCCCTCCTTACCATTCCCCTTCCCCCCTGCTCCCCCACCACTGCAGCGTACAAACGTCTGGCACAGTTACTACTAAATATATTGTTTTTGTCCTTCCTCCTCCCTACCCGCACCCACACCTTCCTCTGTCTCTCTCTCTGTATAACATTTACTTATCTAGTGTAGAATTTTTTAACAATATATTCTCTTTTAAAAATAATTTTATAATAAATTTTAATTGTTGTTTAAGTACAGTTTTCTGCCTTTAACTACCATCCCACCCCCCCAAGGCCTCCCCACCTCCCGCCCATTTCCACCCCCTTTGTTTTTGTCCATGTGTCCTTTACACTTGTTCCTGTAAACCCTTCCTCTTTTCCTTTGAAATTCCCTCCCCTCTGGTCACTGTCAGCCAGTGATTGTCTAAATAAAAATCTTGATTGGCACTTTAATGGGAAATTAAGAAAAGTATTGTTGGAATCTTTGAGGAAGATGCTACTTTAAAATAGAAATTCCTTAACCAAGCTTTTTGGCCCAGTGGTATTACCGTAGATATTTCTCCCTCTTCACTTTCAACCCCTGGGAATCTGGTTGCTCTCCTGCCAGCCCTCGGACACCTCTCTCAGGCCCTGGCTGATCTCCGTGCCGCAGGTTCAATGTGTGCACTAGAGCACCCTCTTGTCCCTGTTCCTCTCATTCCACTGTTTTCCCCATCCTTTTCCCATCCTTTTCATCCCCCCCCAGGATTTCATCGTTGGTATAATACTTTTGTCTACGTGCTGTAGCTGCATGAGGTCTTCCTTTTTTATGTTTTTAGTCTCATCGATATGCTAGTAATTTTAAAATACAGCCCTGATCTGTACCTTAAACTTAATAGCCTTATCTCCACAGATGTTTATCTCCACAGGTATTTAAAGCTAATAATGATCAAAACTGAACTCATTATTTTCCAAAGCTTCCTCTTTTCATAGATTTCATATCTCAATAAATTGCACCATTAGCCACCCAAACCCCAAACCTAGTATTTATATTAAACTCTCTTTTTCTGGTCATATCAGATTAGACTCTAAGACTTGCTAATTTTGCTCCATGAATATTAGTCAAATTTGTCTCATTATCTCTAAATTCTTACAAATATTCCAATATGAGCCTAATCTCTCCTCTGGGCTATAACAAAAAACCTTCACAGTAATTTGATTTACTTAGATTTTGCAATTTTTAAGAAGTTTTTTAAAATGTAAAAGACTCCCTAAATCTCAAATGTTTCAATCAGTAAAAATAACTTTTAAATTCAGTACAAATAACTTATATTCTGAAATATCTTAATCCAAGTTGCCAATCTGATACCTCATCATCTCATAGTATTAAGTATTTCCTAAGGATATTTTTTATATAACCATAATAGAGCCATCAAAATCAGAAATCAACACTGTTACATTACTACCATCTAATGTTTAGGTCTTGTTCAATTTTTTCCGGCTGTGCTAATTGTGTCCTTGACAGCAAGAGCATCATGTTCAGAATTACACATTACATTTAGTTTTGATGGTCTCTTTAGTTTCTTTGGTCTGGGACCATTCTTCATCCTTTATTTGGCATTCATAATCTTAAAAATTTTGAAGAAAGTAGGACAGTTATGCTGTAGACAAATCCTCAATTTTTAAAACAGATGAGCAATTGAGGTGTGTTAGATGCTCCCTTATGATTCGATTAGGTTATGGGTGTTTGGCAGGAACAACGCAGAAGTGATGCCGTGCTCTTCTCGTTGCATCCTACCAGGTGGCACGCAGTTTGGAAATGTTCTCTTACTGACGATGTTCACGCTGATCGTTTGATCAGGGCGGTCTCTGCCAGGCTCCTCCACTGTGAAGTCGCTCTTATCCCTTTAGGAGTTCAGCGTTTTTATGGGCAGTTACTTTGGAGCTGTGTAAATACACTGTTCCTCACCAAACTTAACTCATTCATTTATATCAGTAGGAATCATAGTTTCTCCTGGTTTATTCAATGGTTATAATTGATTACTACTATCATTGTTTTCATGCTCAAATTGTCCCAGATTTGACCAGTGAGAACTCTTTTAAGACGGCTTCTGTGGCCTTCCGTGTCTCTTTTGTTGCATGTCCCCATCACTCTCTGAGCACTTTCTTGCTTTCAGGTCTAAAGAGATATTCTAGGTTTACCTTACATTTCTCCTGACCTAACCCTGGAATCCAACCTCCCTCCAATGAGCTCCAGTTCTTTTGAGCACACACTGAAACTGAGAAACCAAGGTCTGTGTGCTAGCTGCGCTCACTGATTGGAGGTGTGAGGGGGCTAGTGCTTTAAAGCCATCTCAAAGCAAGGGATATTTCCATTTCGTTTACTCACATTTATTGAAATCCTTAAGTTCTAATATCTCTAATTCCAATCCATCAGGAGATTCATGCTAATTTTCTTCCTTTACATATTTGTACTCCATTTTCCAGACAGTGAAAAAACTGGCTCCCACTCTCCTTAATGTGCTTACTTACTTGCTCAATCCCCTGGTATGCTCCCAGTCTCCCACCACTGCCTGCTCTCTACCCCTACCTGGATGCCCTCCCATCCTGCTCAGGCTTTGACACTCCACACCAGGCTGGAAGAGTTGCCAGATTTATCAAATGAAAATACAGACACCTAGCTAAATTTGAATTCCAGAAAACAACAAAAATTTTTTTTAGGAATATATTTATACTAAAAGTATTTTTCATTGATCTGAAATTCAAATTTAACTGGGCATCCTGTATTTAATCTGGCAACCCATAATCTGACCCTTCACTTGGACCCGCTTCTGCCCAGATCAGCTCTGAAACCCAGCTTCGAACTCCTCCGATGTACGAATTCGTTCCTCACCCCGCCCAGCTCTCTGATACCAGGCCGCCCACTCCTGTTAAAGCCCTCCTTGGCTTGGGCTCTGACATCTCATGCAAAGTTGCTCCTGAACATGGATGCCCTTTTGCCTGTTTAGGTTTTAATATCTCTTGCCAGGCCACCTTTCTGTGAATTTTCTCTTTATTCTGCTTGAGCTCCAACAACCAGTGCCAGACCATCCCGCTAGATGCCTTCCTTACCTGTTTGGATTCTGATACCCCATGCCAAGCTTCTCCCTCCCACCCCCTGTGGATGCTGTCCTCCCCTTGCTTGGGCTCAGATACCACCTACTGACCATCTCTGCATGAACATTCCTTCATCGTGATATGTCTCTGATACACCAAGCCTGACGTCATGCAGGGTCACTGATTCACTCCATGAGGGCTCTGACTTCCCATACAAGACCATCTTCCAATGAAGACACCATCCTCATCCTGCTCAGGCTGTCTCCCTGCGTCCACTGCACCATGTAGAGATGCCCTGTCACCCTGCTTAGGCTCCAACCCGCCACATCTGGCTGCCCTCTGTGGATGCTTACCTCATTCTGGCCTACCTGATGGCCTTAGGACTGAACGTTTCAGGAAGAGAAAGAAAAGGCGAAGAGGAAGAGCAATACTTTGCACTTTGATTCAAGTAAACCAAGGGCAGAAATGTTAGAGTGGACTCACCCCAGAAGTGACATTAGGAAAAAATTGTCCACTGGTTTCTTTAACACAAAGCATAATATGCCCTTTACAGTCCTCTGAGTATCATACATTCCAGGTAATTATACTTTTGGATTCTATGCTCTTATGTTTGGAAACACTAAAAAGAATTAAATCAAACATATTTTCTACTTTTATCTTTTGACTATTCAGGGAGAAAACTATTGAACATTTGCTACTTTACTTCTCTTTATAAATATCTTGCAATATCTTATTGCTGTTTTCAAACAAGCTGCTATTTCAGGACTTGACTGTGAAGCCTTTTCGGGGTATAGCTATTAGTTTTCATTTCTTCTTTCAGACACTCTGGTATGACCTTAGGGGCAGGCATAGAGGTAGGAAAGGGCAGAAAAGGCTTTGTGACTTAGAAAGCTCTAAAGATGGCACTGTCTCAAACCTCTTTAATATGATGTTATTCTGGTCAAAGGAACAAAAATTAGTGTTCGACACTTCACTTTTCTCATCACCCTATGCACTATGGGTTGTGTTCATGTTAAAGATATTTTCTTTGTCTTACTGCATAGAAAATCTGTGCATCTGTCCTCTATGTTACACTGTGTGCAAACTTGTCCCGATTTATAAGGCCTTCTTGTCCGAGTTGCTCTACAGAAAAAGCAGAAAACATTTAGTTAGAAAAAGTCTCAAATTGTATGTTATTTAAATAATATGGTTATCATTCTTTGTTAGGCTATCAAGGTAATTTAATTAAGAATAAGGGCTCAAAAAAGTACTTAAATTGGAGATGCAATCTTCCCTGCTTTTTTTCCCCACTGAGAAGTGTCGTCTTAAACTAATTTCCATATCCTTAAAACAAAATAGTTTAACTTAAATATGATTGGGTTTTAAAGCATCTTTCATCTTAGTTTGTAGCAAAGTTTTCCTTTAAAAATGGATGTTACAGAATGTTTTGTAATTAACTACTTTCTGGTTAGCACAAATGTATAAAAAAATTCTAAAGAAGCAATATATTAATTTTCTGAAGAGTATGCAATATCTTGAAATATTTATTGTCCCAAAGACCTGGTTGCATTGCTTACTTTGAGGTCTACATAAGAAATACATAAATATACAAACAAGCAAATAAATATAAATGGAATTTTACAAAGTTGTTTTAACCATTGTATAGAACAGAGGGGGGAAGTGAGACATTACTCTGTCAATTGCCCAAAGCTAAGAAAGGAAAAGAGGCCCAAAAGTAGATATGATTTGGGAAGCTTATATAAAAGACCTAGGATAAGAAAGAAGAAGTAGTTAGGGAAAAATATTTTTGAGTGAGGGGAGGGTCATTAATATTGGTCATTTAAACAGGATTGCTTATTTCCTATATTGCATTGGAAGCTATAAAAACAAACATTAGGTCTGTAAGTCTCCAGAATTTTCCTGAAACTCTTATCTGGTTCTACCTTCAGCATATTGCCACCTACCCAACAAGTGTCCAGGCCCTGGACAGGACGCGTCACCTGGCTGCCTAATGGATAATATACTCACATCCAACCCAAAGTCCATTGGAAAGCCATTATTCAAATTTTATAATAGAACTCTTCTGTTTCAGAAGGAGAAACTTGCTTACACTATACCCATTCCTGCCACTACTTTGTTCATGAAGGAGGTAATTCACTGCCATGGATTGACAACCTAGCAATTATAATTTATAAGCAGATTTTTCTCAAAGTTTCCACGTACAGACTCACTTATTTTGTACATAGTCCATAGGACAATGGCAAGAGAAGGTCAACAGATGTTGATCTTTCCATGTCACAGTTACAGAATAGTTACACCACGCAAACAATAACCACTTTCACTACTTCTGTATATCATTGAGATATACCACAGTGCTGGTTTCTCGTTCACATCTGGACACCTACAGGTTTCCCAAACAGATTCTAATAATCTATCCCAGTAGGCTAGAGAAAAATACAATGCAATAAGCAGCAAAAAAAGATTATATTTTAGAGAGCCTGTCTGACTCTCCTTCTGATACATTTAATATATTTGTCTTTGCCAAAACTTTATGATTGCTTCCTAGATTTATTCAAGGTCAAGGAAAGCATGAACCCTTCTGTTTTACTCCTCAAATTATTCCTTTATGTGCAAAGCTATGTGACTTTGTGTCACTTTGGGTAAAATTCAGTTGGTCACATCACATCTCTGCCTCTTCAACATCTTGGAACTAAATGGCTAGGGACCACGGTTAAACATTGACAAAGCTCCTTCGAGGCTGATATTATTTTGCTGTACCATCCTCTAATCCTCCCCAAGACACCATCTTCTTTCTGATCATGTGTTCTTACTCATTTTGGTGCCTGGCTCACAATTTCCCTTTCAGTCAAAGTTTTGCCATTGTCTTAGAATTTGGGACCTAGGTGATTACATTGCTTACAGGTGATTGGTCCAATAACCTGATCTCTCTGTTACTGGATGTCTTCACCATCACAAAACTTCCAAATACTCTGTAATTTTTGTATTTGTAGCTACACTCTGGACCTTGTTATCCCCTAAATTGCTCCACCTCTGAACTCAGAAAAACCAAACATTATTCTTACTGAATGGAGCTTTCCATCCTTCCCGGTTGCTCACTTACTTATCCATTAATTTTACTGGTACTGCAAGTCTATTTTCTCCCAATCCACCCTGTTGTCTCTTCTCTGTCTGGATTAGGTCTTGACACATTGTAATGTTTGCATATTTGGCTGAAAACCTGAAACCCTCCTGCACTATATTTCCTTTATATCCACCTAATCGAACCCCAGGGTTGGAAAACATGAGGTCATTTCACTGTCTGAATGTTCCATGTCTGCTTCAGGGCGCTGAGGGCTGCTGGAGAAAAATCATTAAACTAGGTAAAGAATCTTTCTACAGTTAGTTCCTTAGTCAGATTTCTCTCTCATTTTCCATAACTATTTCAAATCCTCGCAATCATCAGAACTCCAGCGTCACCATCTTCCCCTTTATTCTCAGAACATTATCTGTCTTACTTCACAGAGAAACATAATGGCCCTTGGATTGGAACTTGAGAAAATTTTTGTCACTAATATGACAAATATTTCCACCCCATCTTTCCTTCTTTTCTGATAAAACTGAAGAACTTCTTCTTTCTAAGGTTAATCTCTTTATACCTTTATTATTGGTAAAGAATTGTTTTTATTCTATACTAGATACTTCATGCCAATACTTAAATATACTCACATTCCCATTTTAAAAACAACACAAAATAAAAGCAACGACAAACAGTCTTTGATTCGTTCCAACCTGGATCACTTCCCTCTCCCCCACACCAGTGGCTCTTCCTATGTGTATCAATGAACTGCTCTTTAAACCTGATATTTTTAAATCTTTACTTTGTATGACCTCTTAGAACTTGAAATGTTAGACAAACCTTCCTTCTGAAAATAGTTTTCCCACGCCTACTATGAGATGCTCTTCTCATTTTTTTCTTCAATCTGTCTGGCTATTCTTCTTAAGTGGCCCCCGCCATGTATCTTCCTCTAACTGCCCTTAACTGTTGGCACGATAGTCCAGAGACCCTCCTCCCTTCACTGTGCGCCCTCACAGACAGTCCATCTACTCCCATGATTTCAATTGCCACTGGCACTCCAAATATTTGTTCTATGTTATGCCTCACTTGCAAGCTTCTCATCCATGTAAACACCTGCTGACTAAACATCTCAAAGTGAGTATTTCACAGCCAACTCAAATTCATTATGTCCCAAATGGAACTCAATTGTTTTCCCTCCCAAAAGGTTTAGTGTTCCTCATTGCAGTTAATGGCAATGCTATTTATGACTGTCATAAATCTGAGAATCTTCCTTGACTATTTCTTGTCTCTCATTACTTCATACAATGATGTGCAAATCCTGTTATTTATACCTTCTAAAATGTGTTAAATACATCTCCAATATCATTCCAGATATACTTTGTTGCTATAAAAGTAAATAAATAAGTAACAGTAATACATGTATAATATTTGTAAATATATGGTAGATGGAGGAAGCAGAAAGGGGCAACCTTAAATAGGAAAAAATGCCCTGACTAGTGTGGCTCAGTGGATTGTCACCCTGTGAACCAAAGGGTCACTGATTGGATTCCCAGTTACAGCACATGCCTGGGTTGCCGGACAGGTCGGGTTACCAGTAGGTGGCGCGCAAGGGGCAACCACACACTGACATTTCTTTCCCTCTCTCTCTCCCTTCACCTCTGTCTAAAATAAATAAAATCTTTTTAAAAAGAAAGGAAAAATGTCTCCATCTTACTCTTTTGTCTCCCAGAGATAACTTCTTTAACAGCTTCTATGATTTCTTCCAGGAAAAAAGTTTTTTCACAAAAATTCTTAGCATTTCTATATTTGTGATAGAGACCGCTAGTTGTAAATTTAAGAATCTCTTGAAATACTGAAATAAATATAGGTTAGCTCGGCATGTAAATGGCAAGCTGTATTTCCCACATTGTATTTCCCAACTTCTCTTGTATCTTAGATGTGGCATATGAGCAGTTTTCTATCTAATGTAACAGAAGTAGCAGTGATGTGCACCCCTTCCCACCTGGTGCTTTAAGAGATGGTCAAGCTGCCAACATGTTTCTCTCCCCTTACTATAAGCTAGCTCATATCACTAGGAGCTGGAGGCACTGGAGTCTATCTACCCCGACTTCTCTACAGTATTATCATACTCCCAGCTTCACCATTACTGTGACAGCGGGGGCTGGAGAAAATGATAAAACTGTCCACACAACCCTCAGCTTTACATACAGTGAAAAATGCCCAGATAAAGCCCCCTCTATGAAATATTCCCCCAGGAAAATCTAGAAAATAATAATGTCTCAGGCATTTTAAAATTAATAGTGTTACAGGAAGAAGAAAACCTTGGTATAGTGATGATCTTCAATGGCAGCAGTGCAAGAAAAATTAAATGAAATAGTGGATCAAATAGAAACTAGGAGATAAGGAAAATAAACAAAAAGAAGCAAAATAAGCTGAAAAGCCATTATTTCACAACATTCCTGTTACTATTGAGAATTTCTTAAGTTGTAAAAAGCCAAGTTTGATGCAGAACTCTTGGACATTAAAAGAAATGAATGAAAGAAGAACAAGCAGGAAAAAAATAAACTAAGTGGGAAACAGCTATTTGAAATATTATAGATCGTTATTTTGACACATCTGATAGCCAGTTCTTGGAGATCCTGGAAACAAAGTGGAGGTAAGTGAGTCTTTGTTCCAGGAAATGAATGACTTGGAACTGGAGGATGATGCAGACGATCCTGCTGACCCAGCAAGTGCCTTCACCAATAATAGACTATCCCAGTCTGCAGGGGCACTTGACTGCCATAGTATCTGTGGCTACCCTGAGAGGATGTTGATTTTTCTTTTTCCTTTTCCTAAGAAAAAACAATTCAGGAGAATATTTTTTTGATAGCTCTCATCATGGAATTTAATAAACTGACTTTAAAATGTCAAAAAAAGAAGATAAGGGGAAATCCAAAACAATTCTGATAAGAATACTTGGAAGCCAAGTAAAAAACATAAGGCAAGATGCACAAGCTGGTAAATTGTATGAGATGCTCCCAGGATGATGAAGAAAACGAGGAAGAAATGACAATTCCATTTAGTA